GAATGCTGATAAGGAGAGATCCGGGAGGCATAAAGAGAAAGAGATTAGTAAACCCTGTGCGGGCCTGGACACCTGGGTCCTCTCCCTGCCCTTGGTGGGGAATGCAGGGCTAGCAATTAAGGCAGAGTGGAATCTGGACACCTGGGTTCTGTACGGCAGTGGGAGACACAGAGCTGAGGCTGCACCAGGGCATGGTGTCATGGGCAATGCTGCTGGCACATGCTGGAGCTGTGCTGGCCAGGGAAAGACAAACATAGGTGAGCTGAGTCCAGCCTGTTGGAGCATCCCCTCCGCCTGCCAGCTCCCCCAGGCTGGCCCTGCCATGTATGCCAGGCACACGGCAGGGGGGCAGGACAGAGGCACTGAGTACGTGGGGCCCGAGGGTCCTGGCCCCCCTCAGGAAGAGGTCTGACACCTGAAATGTGTAAAACTTTCCACATCCATCATCTTACCCCCACCCCAAATAAAAGTCAACACCTATGGGGCAGGGGACAGAGCCCCCTTGCAGTGGCTGGGAGAGGGCCAGCCCCTGCCCTGGTGCTGGGAGCTCTGGGGTAGGGGGGGCTGCCCTGCAGGCAGTAGGGAGAAGAGAAAGCTCCAGCAGAGCCAGCGAGAGATTCCAGACATCCCCTAAACCCTAGACACCCCATCGCCAAAAGCCAGCACAGAACCCAGGAGTCCCAGCTTCAACTCCCTCCCCTACCCCAACAGCAAAAGAAAGATCCTGCCTGGGGTAACCCAGAAGAACCAGGCAGAGAACCTAGACATCTGGGCTCCCTGTCCTCTCCTGCTCTAACCTGCCAGGCCCCTCTCTCTTCCCTAGAGTGGGGATAGAACCTAGGTGTCCTGGCTCCCTGCTCTGATCCCAGCCAGGGAGAGCAAACCCAGGAGTCCTATGCCCACAAATAGTCACTGCCCTGGCAGCTCTGAGCCCAGGAAGCAGGTGCCACAAGGTCCTGGCTTTGGGGTGTGACGGCTCTATGCCTCCCCCAAAGGGAGAGTCCTGGCTGGTGGGAGTGGGAGGGGGTTGTTGCTGCCCTTTCATCCCTATCTGTCCCCCACCCATCTAGATCTGCCCCCACACCCAGCCAGCCATGTCCCTCCACCCAGAGGAAGCATTTCCCTGCGGGTGTATCCCAACATGGGCATGGGGCGGGGAAGGGAGGGGAGGGGGGGCAAACCAGTCCCTTCTCCCCTCCCAAAGCTGGCAAAGAACCCAAGTGTCTGAGCTCTCCGCACACTGTGCTCTGACCCCGCAGCCCCCACTCCCTCTCAGAGTTTAAGAGAACCCAGGCATCTGGGCTCCCAGCCTCCTGCTTTTGTAACTCCTCTCCCACTCCCCACTCTCCTCCCAGAACTGCAATAGGACCCAGGCATCCCAGAACCCAGGCACCTGTGGTCCCAGCCCCTCCTGGTCTCTCCCTCCAGCCCGCACTCCCTGTCCCAGACCTGGGATACAGCCCAGGCATTTAGCCTCCCAGACCCACTAATCTCACCCTGCATCTTCCACTGACCTCCCTGAGGTGGGGAGAGAACCCAGGGGTCCGTGCTGCCAGCAAGGGGAGCCATTGCTGTGACTCTGAGCCAGGAGCACAGGCTGGGCCAGGGCTGGATGCCAGGGACCTGATGGGGGGGAGGGGGCAGTCCTTGGGGGGTCCTCCTAGCTCTGGCTGTAGGGACCTCCTAGCTCTGGCTCTGTGGCAACCCCTGACCCATTGTTCCTCCTTGGAGCAGGGCACTATTGTTGGATGCCAGTCAGAAGGCAAGTGGGAGGGTGGGCTGGCCAAAAGCAGAGCTCAGAAGGGAGCTGGGGTCTCTGGGAAGGGGAGGGGACTGGTTGCAGCTGCCTCTGGGGTGTTAACGATCTCCACTCCAGACCCTGGTTAAGGTCTAAGGCAGGGCAGAGATGATGGCAGGGCTGGGCAGTAATGGGAGGACAGGGCTAAGGAATGAGAGGTGCCAGTACCAGGAGCTGGGCAAAGGCTGGGGGGTAGAATGGAGCCAGTGGGGTGGCAGCACCAGGTGCTGGATGAGGAGGTCACAGCAGGGTTGGGGGTGGGCAGGGAAAGGGGGAGCAAGGTGTATACACACGTGTCAATATGTGCTAGAGGGGAGCAGCTCTCACCCCCCAGCCCCCACTCCTGTCCTGGAGCTGGGATAGAGCCCAGGTGTTTGGGTTCCCAGCCCCCTGCTCTAATCCCCTCAGGCCCCTGCTCCCTGTCCCTGAACTGAGATACAGCCCAGGCTTGGGATCTCCCAGCTCCACCCTCACATAACCCCTTTCCAGCCTCCACTGCCCTCCCAGAGCTGGCAAAGGACCCAGGCCCCCACCCTGCTCTAACCCCCCATTCCCATTTGCTGAGCTGGCAATAAAACTTGGCATCCAGGCTCCCTGCCCCTGCCCCACAACTCTTACCCTGCAACCTCACGCCCATCCCAGACCTGGGAGAGAACCCAGGCGACCAGGTTCCCAGTACTACTCTGCTCTCACCATGCAGCCCCTAACCCAGAGCAAGTCCTGGGGGGTAGGGGAGGAGGTCTCAAGGAAATGGGCCCAGGACTGGATGCCAGCGGAGGGGCATCACCCAGGCAGGAGAGGATCAGAATATCTTGCTGCCTTTGACTGTCAGGAGGGCTGGGAGGGTGAGAGTGAGGGGGCTAGTTTACTGCCCCTTGGCTGGGGGAACTATCCCAGAGGGACATCTCCAGACCCCTGGGGATGGGGACAGGGACACAGAGCCCTCTTATGAAGCAGGGACCAGTCTAGGCTACCCTCAGAGCAGAGGAGAACACTTTGCCCCATGACCTTTCCTTCCTCCTAGATGTTAATGAGTTCAAACTGAGCCCTGCCTAAATTGCAGCCCAGCAGGGAAGGGCCAGCAGCCAGCACTGCCTGGGGCCAGGTGGGACTGGCAGACAGCAGGGGAGGGTCCTTTAAGAAGGGGAAACTGAGGCACAGGGTGGTTCCCAGAGAGCAAAGCAGGGGTCCTACTCCCCTCCTCAGGGTCTGAGCCAGATTGACCAAGCCTCCAACCTGGCCAGCACCCCTGCAACCACAGCCACACTCCTAGAGCCATGCCTCAGTTTCCTCACTGTGGCAGGGGGGATGCTGGCATGAGCCCGGGGTGAGGCAGCTGACCGGGTTTCACATGGGATGCGTTTCACATGACGTGTTTCATGTCTCAGTGCCTCCAGGGCATGTGTTTCCTGCCTGGCTGCTGGCGGAATAGGTGCAAGTGGCATTTACAAGGGGATGTAGAAGGTGCCAGAGGTGTGAGCATTCCTACAAAGCTATGAAAGGCAACTGGTGTGGCTGGGGCTGGGGCTGGGGCTGGGGCTGGGGCAGACAGAGGGCAGGGGCTAGGAGCCTGGACACTTTGGTTCTACCCTAGCTCTGGGTACAGGGAGTGGGAGGGCTAGTGGTTAGAGTTTGGGGGCTCTAACCACTAGCCCTCCCACTTAATGGATGCCACTTAAAATGGGGTGGGGGTGCTGGGAGCCTGGACACCCATGTTTCACCCCGGGTCACTGCTGTAGGAGAAGGCAGGGCAAGGGGTAGATGTCTTTACACAGCACCCCGGGACTGACTCACGTGGAAACTGGCCCCAGAGTCCAGGCCTAGGCCTTGGCCCTTGCCCTTGCCCATTCCTGCCCCATAAACCCAAGGAAGGAAGCGCTGAACCCAGCAGTTTCAAGGCAGGAACCTGGATTCCTCTGTGCAACTCCAGAGCCCCTCAGCCTCCCCCCACAACCAATATCGCTGCCCAGAGGGGGCTGGGGGCAGAGCTAGGAGCCCCTCCAGGACTGCAGCGTGTCCAGATAGGCCAAGAAGAGACAGAACAGGTACCTCCATAAACCCAGAATTGGGATCCCCACACTAGCAGTCTGCAGAGCAGGGCGGGGCGGGGGGGAGCGGCAGGCAGCTCTGGATGCTGGAGTTTTGTTCCCTGGATGCCAGCTCTGGGAGTGTGGTGGGGGCTGGAGGGGATTATAGGAGGGTGGAGCAGGGAGTTTGAACAGCTGAGTCCTTTGCCAACTCAGGGAGGGGGACTGGAAGGCTTGGGGCAGGGCAGAGCTGGGGACCCAGACACCTGGGTTCATTCCCAGGTCTGGGAGGGGAGTGGGGCTATGGGGTGAGAGCTGCTCCCCAGCCTGACCCCCCTGGGGCAGGGAACCCCTGGCTGGGACCCTACTGAGCCAAGACCCACTCAGCAGGACCTGGGATCCCCCCCATCCATCCGTGGCTGGCGGGGTATAGCTGCACCCCCCATGTGCACCCCAGATTCCCCTTCTTTCTCCATCCCTCTCTGTCTATTCTCCCTCCCTCCATCCTTCTGCCTCACTCTCTCCCTCAAGCCCAGGGGGGCTCTCCTGAGCTCCATGCCACTCACCTGTCCGGTGTGGCTCTGTCCTTCTGTTCACGTTGGCTCCCATCCAGGGCTTGGGGCATGTGCCAGGGTGGGGTGGGATTTCACAAGCCTATGACTCCAGAGAGAACTCCCTGGACAAACTTCCTGATGGACCCATTAACAAATGGGGTGGGAAGGGCCATGCATGCCAAGTCAGAGATGCAGTCACTTCTGGGGTGAGACATGGGGAGCCAGCTCAGCCCTCGGTGCTCCCTGTGATTAGCTGCTTCTGGGGTGTGACACAGGGTGGCATGGAGGAAAGGCCACCAACAGCATCTCCCCCCCCGGGCCATTCTCAACCCCCCCCTGCTCCTTTCCATTACCCCCACCACCCTTTGCCTCAGATAAGCCCAGATTCCCCAGAGGGGCTGCAGCTTCCCCTGGGGACCCCCAGCCCAGCATCAGCAGCCCCATCCCCTCCACAGGATTACTGTCCACCGCCTGCTCCCCCTCCCCACATCAGCTCAGCATATGAGGATGCACACCTAAATACCAGCTCCTCCCAGGACTCTGGGAGCTGGGGATTTTTGCTGGGGAGCATGGACAGATCCTGGCGGGGGGACAGACGGACAGACGGAGCCAGCTGGCGTTTCTTTACAGCTTTATTGAATCTGTACATCTAGGACCATGTTCACAGTGAGACCAGAGAGGCGGCAGCGGGGGGGGTGATGACAGAACCCCACCCTCTTCCGCCTGGGGCTACATTCCACGACCTACTCTGGGGGTCCCCAGCCTCGGTGCTTTGGCCCCCTGGGGGTCAAAAGAGGAGGAGGGCATGACGTACCCCCAGGGCCTGGCTCAGCTTTGGGCGGCGGGGGTTTGAGGCAGCCCCCCAGCCCCCTTGCTCTGGGCTGGGGATGCCCAGAGGATGCTCAGGGCGGGGCAGGGCAGGGGGTACTCTCCAGCCAATCAGGCCAGGCTCTGGCAGAAGGACCAAGTGCGAATTGGATGGAAGAACTTGGTGGGGCAGCGAAGAGCCAATGGGAGCATGGTAGGCCCAGGGACATGGGCCACCAGGCGAGGGAGGGGTGTCACAGTGTTGGCAGCAGGTGGGTGCCCCGGGGAGGGGTCAGAGCGGGGGGACATCCTTGGTGGTGCTGGTGCTGGCTTTCTGGCTGGTGCCGCTGGCCGAGACCAGGGTTAGGGGGTCAGGGCGGATGAGATACCTGCAGGGGCCACAAGAGGGCAGTCAGGAGGGCTGGGGCATCTGCCCCAAGCAGGGGTGGCTGCTGTACCCCCACTAGCCTATAGGGCCATGTGGGGTTCCCTGGTTTGGGGGGGGGGGGAAGGGGGAGAGATGCTCCCAGCTTGGTTCTGCCTCCCTGCTCTCCCAAAGGTACATGATGGGGAAGGGGAACTGGGGGGAAGATTGCGGGGATTGAGGGCACTCACACGAGAGGGGGTGGTGGTGGAGGTGAGTGCTGTGTCCAGGCTCCCCACCTTATCAGACCCATGGCCTCCCCCAACCCTGCTATATCAGACCCATCATCTCCCCCTTTACGAGATGCATCAACCCCCTAGATCAGAGCCCTAGGGTCCCCCTTGCTCCACCCATATGAGAATAGTCAACCCCTCCATATCAAACCCATAACCCTCCTCAAAGCTCCCTATCAGACCCATATATTCACCCATGTCAGATCCTTAACATCCCCCATATCAGTTCCCTGCCACTCCAGCAGTCCCCAACCCTCCATATCAGCCCCCTCACCCACAGCTATCCCCAACCCTCCATATCAGCTGTCTGCCTCCAGAACCTCCCCCCCCCCTGTACCAGCCCCCCCAACCCCTTAATACTAGCTCCCACCCCACCAGATCAGCCCCTCATCTCCCAACATCACCCCCCACCTCCCCACTCCAGTTCATACTGAAGCCAGTAGAGGAGAGGCCAAGGTGGCGCAGCCGGGCACGGACAAGAGCACTGAGCTCCTGGCGCTCAGAGCGGCGGTGCAAGGCTAGGCGCTGCTGGCGCACACGGGCAGGAGGTGCAGGGTCAGGTGGACGGGCACCACGGCGGCTCAGGCGTCGCGCCCACTGTAGGCTCTTGCGCCGTGCTAGGGGGACCTCACCCACCTCCTCCCCAGCCTCTGGGCTGCCTGGAGCCTGCCACTGTGGAAGTGGGAGAAAGGGGGTGTCATCACGGGCAGAACTTTCCCATGGCTTCTCCCACCTGGGCCCTGGACACCTGGGTTCCAGGCCAGTCTGGGGCACTGGATGCCTTGGTTCTAGCCCCTGATGCCTGGGCTCCAGCGCTGGGCCTGGGGCACCTGGGCTCCAGCTCTGGGCCTGGGGCACCTGGGCTCTAACTTCCAGGACCGGGATGCCGGACACCTGGGTTCTAGCTCCAGACGCCTGGGTTCCAGCCCCAGGTCTGAGGTGCTGGACACCCGAGTTCCAGCCCCAGATGCCTGGAGTCCAAGTCTGGGTCTGGACACCTGGGTTCCAACTCCCAGCTCCAGGGCACCTCATGCCTGGGTTCTATGCCCAGCTCTGAGGCACCCAACACCCAGCTTCTAGCTCCTAGCTATGGGATGCCAGATGCCTGGGTCCCTCCCCCAACTCTACCTCGCTTTCCCCTCAGCCTGGGTCTATGTAGACTAAGCATGACCAGGTCCCTGGCATGATGGTCACCAGCCCCCATGTAACACTCCCCACTTTTCCCCCTCCCCAGGGCCATGCACCTCAGAGGTGGGGAGCAGGTGGCTCTCAGTGCGGTAGATGCCAATGGGGACATCGCCCGTGGTAGAGCAGAGCTTCTGGTAGAGGCGTCCGTAGGAGCGGATCCACAAGTCGTCCTCCGTCACCTTCAGCTGCAGGGACAGCCTGGTGCTGACCCCTGGCACCTGCCCCCTCCCCCTTTGGCACCCTTTGCCCAGAGCCTTAGGCCATGATGAGAGGGAAAGGGGCGGGGGGGATGTTCTATAGGCCCCATAGGAGGGATTCTCCCTACCCCCCCAGTACCCGGATAGACGGGTAAGGAGGGAGCAATGCAGGCTGGGGGCAGTGATGGAGTCAGGAAGGGATAGAGATAGATGTGCATGGGGATGGATGGATGGATGGATGGATGAGAGCTTATGGAGATGGATAGATGAACTGATGTGTGGCTTATTTAGAAGGGTTTAATGGGGAAGGACTGAAGGACAGACAGACAAATAGAGAGGAGTGTAGCAGGTTTGAGACTGCTCAGCCCAAGCAGTCTGTGGTTTCCTTGTGGTAAACACACTCCCAGCATGGATCAACACAAACAATAGGGTTATCTCACCCCTGTGGTCTTGTCCCAAACCAACATCTGGGAGCAGCCCACCCACCTGCTCTCTCCCTCTCAGCTCTGCTCTTCCTCAGCTCCTTTCCCTCAGAGTCTTTAACTTCCACTGGCAGCTAATTCTCCTTGTCAGCTGGCTGAGTTTCATGGCCTGCAGACTACTACAAGGAGTATGTGGGGATGGATGGGTGGATGACTAGGTGGGTGAGTGGATGGGATGGGGATGAATAGGAAGATAGGTGTGTATGGGGATGGATGAATGGATACATGGATGACTTATTTAGAAAGACTTCACAGAGATGGGTGGATGAACAGATAGAGATAGAAAGGAGTGTGTGGGGATGGAAGGATGGACAGATGAATGGAGGGGAGTTTGTGTGAATGGATGGATGGATGGATGGATGGATGGGCTGACAGGTAGGTTACTTAGAAGGAATCCATGGGGATGAGTGGATGGACATATAGCCAGATAAAGAGGAGTGTGGGGGGATGGATGGATGAATGAATGGATGGATGGATGGATAGATGGGTGGACAGATAGGTGCGTATGAGGATAGACAGATGGATGGACTAAGGAAGACAGTCTATGGAGATGGATGGATAAACAGAGCAAGCGTGCAGATGACTTGGAAGTGCTTCATAAGGATGGGCGGACAGACGGCGAGGGATGCATGGGGATGGACAGGTGGATGGACAGATGGGTGGGGGGTGGCTCATTAGAAAGGCCATGTGGGGATGGTTGGATGGAGCAGAAACGTCTCTAGACAGAACAGATGGATGGATGAACAGGAAGGGCTGGATACATGCATGCGGGAGGGGGAAATCAGTCTCTGCTACTCACTGCGCACAGGAAGCCAGACCCAGGCAGTGAATCGAGGCCCAGCAGTAGGCGGGTGATGGAGATCATGTAATCCTTCACAAACGACTGCAAGTCAGGAGAGGGTGGAGGGTCATGCTGAGCCAGTCTATGGTCCCCCACTGCTCCAGGAGGGTGGGGGGTCAGAACACTGCACTGGGACAGCTTCTTGGGTGCAGGGAGGGTCACCTGGTAGAGCAGCGTGTCCAACATGCTGACACTGAAGACTTTCCCGGCAGCGAAGGGCAGGCGGAACATGAACACCAGGTTGGAGCCCTTCTCCCGCTCCTTCTATGGGGCACAGAGGGGTCAGTGGGGCAAGGGAAGGATTGGGGGGCAGCTTGGGGGTAGGGGGGATGTACCTTCTCGAGCTTGGACAGGGCCAGCCCATAGCGGTCCTTGGCTTTGAACTGCATGAAGCGCATGTTGGCCGGGTGCGTCAGCTCTGTGATGATGTTCAAGCCCGGGAACAACCTGCCAGGGTATGGGGGAGGGAGTCAGTGGGACCCCCCCCCAGCCCAAAGCCTGGGAGAGAACCCAGGCATCTGTACTCCCAGCGCCCCCCTGCTCTCATGCATTAAACCCCTTTCCCCCCGCCAGAGGGCAGAAAAAAAAAACAGGCATCCAGGCTTCTAGCTCCCTCCCGCTCTAACTCTCCCAGGACCACACTCCATTCCCAGAGGTGGGAGAACCCAGGCGTCCGGGCTCCCAGCCCTGCCTTGGCCCTAACCCCACAGTCTTCCCTCCCCTCCCAGAGCTGGGAGAGAAGCCAGGCATCTGGGTTCCCAGCCCCACCTACTTCAACCCCCCAGCTGCCCCTCTCCCCTGCTCTAGCCCCAAGCCACCCCTCCCCGAGCCGAGGAAAGAACCCAGGTGTCTGTGGCACCTGAAGAGGGTCTGGACATTGACAATGGTCTTGGCGTCGGCCATGTAGTCCTCATCAGCGATAATGGAGCTCTCCTTGTCCACCACCACCATGTTGGCCGCGAAGGTCACCCCACAGCGCAGCAAGTCATCCAGGCTGGGGGAGGGGAGACATGACCCCTATCCCATGCCCCTGCCACCCTTGGGAGGCCGTCCCAAGACCACCGCTGGCTTCTCAGCCCTCTGCCACCCCCTGTGTGCCCCAATGCCCAGCCCCTGCCCCCAATCTCTCCAGCCTCCCACCACACCTGAGCCCCCATACACATCAGTTGGCTCCTATCCCCCCATATAGGCCAGCCTACTGCCCCTACCCTGTACCCCAATCTTCCCCCTAGCCTCCCATACCCCCTAGGCAGTCCCCAGCTCCCCATATAGCCCAGCCCCTACCCTCTGCATCCCAGGACTCCCTGCCCCCCAGCCCCACTTCCCTTGAGGGCCATCCATACATCCCAGCCCCACCATATACCCCAGCTCCTGTCCTCCAGTCTGCTCCTAGCCCTGGCTCTATGCCTATGTGTCCAGCCCCGCAGCACCCACTCACTTATCAATGGAGCCCACCATGTAGTAAACTAGCGGGAACCAGCAAATTGCCTCCAGGAAGTGGGTCTCGGGCCTGTGGGGCAGAGACAGGCAAAGGGGAGAATGGCCAAGGAACTCCCTCCAGGTCCCACTGCTCCTTCCAAGCCCCCCCACCCACCCAAAACGGCTCCAAGGGCTCAACCTTGGTTGGAGAGGGGCTGAATTACTTCTTATCCAATGTGGGAGGAGGCTGTGTGTCCCCCCCCGCCCTTCACTGTGTGCCCCTTCTCCCTTCACTGCCCTGCCATCTGCCCGGGGGGGTGGGGGGGGGTGGGACACGGGACTGTGGTCCAGGACCAATTGAGGGGGTCCATAGCCCATTGGAGGGAGTCCATGGCCTACAGAGTGCATCTGTGGCTTGTGGAGGGGTGGGGGTCCATGGCCTGTGGAGGGTCCATGCCCCATGGTGGGGTGTATGGCCTATGGGGGGGCCCACACCCCATGAAGGGGCAGACATGGCCTGTGAGGGGGTCTGAAACCCACTGACGGGGGTTCACGGACCATACGTAGTGTCATTGCCCACAGGAGTTATAGCCCATTTATGGTGCCTGTGGCCCTTTGTGGGGGTCTGTAGCCCATTAGGGGGGTCCATAGCCCATGGGGGTGGGGGTGCAGTCTGTGAGCCACTGAGTAGTCCTTACAGGTCCTCGAGCAGCAGCACAATGGGGTTGAGCTCCTTGCGAGGCCGATAGTAGGCCCGCAATGGCACCACGAAGTTGTAGAGCCCATTGCCGGCACGCTCAGCTGACACGATAATGAGCCGGTTGTGGAAGCCGTAAGCCGGGTTGTGAAAGCCGTAGGCACGGGCATCCTCATGGGGCAAGTGGGGGCAGCTCTGTGGAACAGAGGGAGGTCAGTGCAGCCCATTGGTCCCAGTCTGAGCCCCCAGCACTCCCCCTGTCCCAGTGGGTGGGGGGGCAGCATCATGCCTGGCACCCCCTATCTCCGCTGGCACAGGGCAGTAAGCAGGCAGCCAAGACAGGGGTGTGGGGCCATATCTGAGCCCCGCTCCCGGTTCAGCCTGGGCCTGGAGAGGGGCAGGGGTATTACCTTGTCCAGCCGCAGGCAGCAGAAGGGGGTCTTCTCCGGCAAGAGGTGGCAGAGGGTGGGCGAGCTCCCAATGTAGGGCGTGTTGCTAGGATAGCCCTTCACCCAGCTGCAAGATGGGCACAGGTAGGGTGAGGCTGGGGCTGTGGGGGTCACTGGGGCATCCCAGTGACCCAGCATTGGGTGTTGTGGGGGGAAGGGTGCGGCCCCCTGGACCAAAGGGAGCTCACTGGCTTGTCAGGTCCTGGGGTCTCTATTCATACCAGTACCACACACGGATATAAGCAGGCACACACGTATATAAGCACGCCTACACATGCACATGCCTGCAACACATGCCTGCACAACACATGCCTGCACAAATGCACGTATGAACACTTATACACATGTGTGCACACACACAAGTATAAGCACTTATGTGCAAATACAGACACATACATAGGAACTTGTGTGTGTGTGTGTGCTCACACACATGCCTGCACACACACATGCATGACAAACACATACCTGCACACACACATGCAGCCATTTGGATCGGTGTGAATGTAGGAATCTACAACACACATGCTTATCTGGGTGCACAAGCGCATGCCTGCGCACATGTGCAACCATTTGGCTGTGTGCATATAAGTGCACACACAAGCTTGCCTGTTTACCCACATGTGCATGCACACGTGTGCACACACACACTTCTTGTCAGCAGCTCCCTCCTCACTCTGCCCTGGACCCCCCTTACACCTTCATTACACTCCAAATCCAGGAGGCAATTACCCAACCCCCCCTTACTGCCCCCCCGCCCTCCGGCTCAAGCCCTCCCCCAGCACATGTAAGGTATCCAGGCTCACCCTGGATAAGGTCCCAGGGGCAGCAGGCACCAGCTTGAGCTCACCTGCTTCCATGGGGTGGGGGACATGTGGCCCTGGGGCCCTGCTCATCCCTGCCCCTCCTAAACTGCCCCCCTCCCCATGGCCCCCTCACCAGGCAGAGGCAGCACCATCCTCATGGGGGCTGGCCTCATCCTCAGAGGGATCGCTGAGCAGGTCGAGTGTGGGGCTGGGCAGCGTGTCTGGCCCCTCCAGCACAGGTGCGATGCTGGGTCGCTTCTCAGCATCTGGTGCCTCAGCGCTCTCAGGGCTGCTGCCTGAGTCTGGCAAGTCCATGGCCACCGTCCCTGCAGGGCCCAGAGCCAGCAAGTCAGGGGCCAAGGGGAACTTAGAGTGACTCTCCTGTCCTGCCTCCCCCAGCTGGGGGTTGAGACCTGGCCAACACAGTTCACCCAGGCTGGCCCCAGCCCCACAAGGCTTCAGCCCCTGGGATCCTGCCTCCTTTCTGTGTGGGGATTGGGGAAGAGGTGATGGGTGGGGCACTGGTAAACCCCAAGCTAAATGGTGATTAGCTGAGGAAGTGTGAAGGGGGGGTGGGCGCGCATACTCGTTACCCCATGCTGGATGCTGATTGGCTGAGGAGGTGTGAAGGGCAGGGCTCTGGTAAACCCATGCTGGGTGGGGATTGGCTGAGGACGTGTGATGGGTGGGACACTGGTAAAAACCATGCTGGGAAATGATTGGCTGAGCAGGTGTAAAGGGAGAGGCACTGGCAAGGTCCATGCCAAGGGGTGATTGGCTGAGGTGTGATGGGCGGGGCACTGGCCTGTCCTATGCTGGGTGGTGACTGACCAAGGCAGCAAGATGGGCAAGGCAGTAGCAGCCCCACACTGGGTAGTGACTGGCCAAGGAGGTGTGAAGGGCATGGCACTTGTTAAACCCCATACTACATGATGATTGGCTGAAGGGGCACAGTGGGCAGGGTTCTCACCCATGCTGGCGAGGATGCTGTGCACAGGCAGGCGCGTGAGGCCACGGTAGGCCGTGGATGCAGGGCGGCGGGGGGGTGCTGGGTCCTGCTGTTGCCGCACCAGGGCTGAGTTCTCCTCCTTGGACACGTTGATGTAGAAGCAGGTGTCGCTGGCAGCCAGGATGTGGCAGGGGCCCGGGGTTCCCCCCGGCCCCGGCGCCAGCCACAGGCAGCCCTTGGTGCCCGCCGTGCCCAGGGGGGAGGGGCGGATAAGGAGGGGGGGGGCCTATACATGTGTGTAGGAGCAGCTGGGAGTGTGCGAGCATGTTTAAGCATAAGCAAGCCTCTCTTAAGCATGCACAGACCTCTAATAAGCATGCACAGGCCTAAGTGTGTACACAAGCGCAGAATTGCAGGGAGACAGCACAGAGGTGTGCAAGCAGGTACAAGGACACGTGCATTCAGAGCCCATGTGCATGCGAGTGTGCACCTGTGCAAAGATGTGCTACGTATATATGCGGGGGATGGGGGAGCTATGCCTGCAGGAAGGCATGAGTATGGGAAGGACATGCAAGGCCACTTGCCCACAAAGATATGTATGCAAATGCACACGTGTGTGGGCATGCATACACAGGCAAGCAGGGGAGACATGCACACACAGGCAAGCAGACCCCCTTCTGCTGCCTGTGGCTGGGGGGAGGGGGGAGGGGGCCAGGGCCGTGGGTACCCCTGTATGCCTGTGCACACGTGTGTTCCTCCCAAGACATGCACGCATACTCACTTCTTGTGGGCGTGGAAGGATGCATAAGTGAAGCTCTTCCCTTCATACTCGCCCAGGAACTTGCTGTCTCCCAGGCGCACATGATGCACCTCATTGGCCGAGCACCGGCTGTACGTCCTCTGCCACTGCTCCGGTGATGTGGGGCCCTCCCTGGCGGGGTGGGTGCCTGCTCCCATCAGTGCCCAGAGCATCCCTCAGGGCACCCCCACCCACCCTGGGACCCTCCACCCCCATACTGGGCCACAGACCCCTCCCTACTGGGTCAAGGGCCCCCCTATAGGGCACAGACACCCTCCACGGGGCATGTACCCCCCTCAATGTGTTTGGGCCATGCACCTGGGAGGCCAATGTGACAGCCTAGCTGGGCAGCTCCCTATGCATACATGTGTGTGAGCACATACTTCCAGCCAGCGCTGCCCTTCTCTCCCCCACAAACCACCCAGCTGGGGAAGGAGGGAACCCAGGTGTCTCCCCAGCCCAGCCTTTTCTCCACTGGGGCTCACCTGGAGAGGGGCTGCCAGGTGTCAGGCCGCTGCCTGAAGGACTCTGCTGGGGTGGTCCTGCCAGTGGGGGTGGGGGGGAGGGGGTGGCATGGGGACAGGACATAGGGGGACATAGATCAGCTGAGACCCTACAACTGGTGCCACCCCGCTGCCCCCTGGGTTGGGAACCCCTAGCCTTGCCCCCCCAAGTTGGGGGGCAGCTGGGGGTGTCCCTGTATGATCCCCTTGCCCTCTTTCAAGCAACCTTTTCAGGCTCTCAGCAAACTCAGGCCAGTGCTGTGTCTGGTTCCCCACCCCCGCCATTCGCCTGACTTACTGCCCCCGGGAGGTGTGTATGAGCAGGGTGATGAGCGTGGAGGTGGCTGGGCACACACAGTTGAGGGCCAGCATGGCATATTTGAACTCTTCCTCGCACACCACATGGTCTAGAGAAGGGGAGGGAGAGAGGGGCTGTGAGCTCTGGGCCCCTCCCCACTAGCAGGTCCCCTCCCAATGGACTGTCCGTCCATCTGTACACCCATCTGTTGTCTGTCTATTCATCCATTTCTCCACCCCTCCATCGATCTGTGTATCTATCTCTCCCTTCATTTATCATCCTATCTATCCCTTCCTCTTTTCATCTATCTGCCTATTTATCTATCTGTCTGTCCATCCATCCATGCACTCACTCACCCACATATCTGTACTTCCCTTCCTTTATCTGCCTATCAGTTTGTCTTGCCATCCATCCATGTATTTCTGTCTCTCAGTCAATCTCTCTACCTGTGTACCCATCCACCTATCCCTCTACCTGCCCATCTATCCCTCTCTTTTAATCTATCTGCCTATTTATCTATCTGTCCATCCACCCATCTTCCTAACTATCCCTCCCTTTATCTATCCCTCCCTCCCTCCCTCCCTCCTTTCACTTATCGATCCATCCATCCATCCATCTGCACATCTATCCATCTAGACCTCTCATGAGATCTTTCCATCTATCATCCACCCATCCATCTGCACACGTCAGTTCATGCATCCCTCCTGCATCTGCTCCATCCATATCTTCCCTGTCACCCCCGCCTCTATCTAGCTACCCACAAGCTGAGCTGTGGGGCCCTCACCTGCGAACTTGATGTGGAACTTGTTTTCAGGCTTAAGGATCTGCACGTACAGGGGGCAGTTGGGGGCAAAGTCCTTCACAGCCCAGGCTCGCAGGATGGTCTGGTGATCCTTGGGGAGGGGGGCAGCTGTCACAGCCAGACCCCCCCACCCCAGGGTGCTTGGCATGACTGTACCCACCAATCCTAGCCTGAGGGGGTCTTTACAGTGTCTTGTGCTCCCTGATCCCAGCCTGGGGGGTTTGTACACTGCCAGGTGCCACATGGTGACTCCAAGTACTACCATACTGCATGAAATAAACACCCCTCCCCAGAGCCATCATTAACCCCTTGTGGCCTGGACAGCATCCCTCTCCTACTGCCCCAGGGGCGGCATAAGGGGCACTTACTGCTGCCACACGGTCCACCTCAAAGCGGTTGCTGAGGATGAAGCAGGCCTCAGCGTCATCCATCCTGGGAAGTGGGGGGGCAGGAAGGGGGTGGTGGGGGTGGTCACAGCTCAGCAGGACCATTGAGACACACACAGAAAGGAATGCGAGTCACTGGGACCCCTCCCCACCCTTGCCAAACCCCCACCTGCCCAGGCAGGGAAGGGGACTCCAATGTCCCCTCCCCTCCCCATGTCCATGCCACCTCTCCAGGCAGGGAGGGGGTCCACACTGCCCCCAGCCCCTCACACACTTGGCTCTCATGAGGTCCTGGTCCTTGAGGGCTGAGCCCTGGAGGAAGATGACACGTTGGGCCCAGAGTGGGATCTGTAGCACGCGGCGCACGGGCAGGTCCATCTCGGTGGGGCACAGGATCACCACATAGTAGTCCTGGGGAGAAGGGGAGTCAGGGCATGACCAGCCCCCAGTCTGCCCCCTGCCCCATGTCAAACTTCAGGGCCTGTGCTGCTACCCACAATGTGGCAGAGTGATGCTAGGGCACCAGCCAGCCAGGTGGGCGCAGCCCATATGGCAGGATCCTGGTGGGTGGTGAACCGGGATGGGAGCCCAGATGCCTGGGTTCTCTCTCTGCTCTGGGAGGGTGGGGGTCTGGCTAGCTCCACCCCCACGACAACCCCAGTACTATGCAGGGAAGTGGAGACAGAAGATGGTAGGAGCTCCCCTGCCCAAGGGGGTGGCTCATTTGCTTACATGAATATGCAAATGAAACAGTTATGCAACCAGAGGGTGCTGCTTTTCTCTCCGAGGAGAACTGATGGTGGGGTGGGGAGCAGAGACAGTGGGCCTCAGCCCCCAAAGCACAAACAGCCTCCCCCCATCTGGTCCCCAGCCCAAGCCCCCCAGCCCAGTGCCCCAGCTGGACCCCCCAGGCTGTGCCGCAAAGGGCCCCCACCTGGAGCCGGGGATGGGCATAGAACTCATTGAGGAAGTCCATGAGCAGGTCAATCTTGAGGGCACTGACACACAGCACCACATGCTTCTCCGTCTGGGCCCGGTACCGAGCAACAGGGGATTAGCAGGGGGGGGCTGGGCTGGGAGGCCAATGGGGGTGGGGTCCAACAGGGGGCATTATGCTGTGGGGGTGCAACAGGAGGGTCCAGCCCCATCCCACAAGATCCCAATATAATCAGCTTCCACCTCTCACCCCAGAAGCAGCTGCATCTTGGCACCAGGCCAGGATCAACCCCCCCAGATTGTTACTGTATCCCCTCCCTTCCCCCCCCCCCGGGAACCTGTATGGGCAGGACGATGAGGGCGACACAGATCATGACAACGACCAGCAGCTGCGAGGGCCAGATGCGTGGTGTGACGTCACCAAAGCCCACAGTGGAGAAGGTGACGATGCAGAAGTAGAGCGAGTCAAACAGCGACAAGTTGTTCCCCGCCCGCTCCAGGTGCTGGATCCCACAGATGCTGCCACCGGGAAAAGGGGATGACTTAGTGCCAGGCTGGGTTCCCCCCCAGAGCCAGCTGCAGCTGGGCAGAAGTGACACCAGGGGAGCCGCCTGTCCCCTCCAGCCCCTCCCATGGCCCCACTCACCAGGTGAAGATGAGGCAGAGCAGGGTGCAGCCCAGGATCAGCACCTGGTTGAACATGGCTGAGTGCGAGCGCTGGATGGCACGGTGCAGGTCATTCTGCAGGCAGGGGCGGAAGGGGGTTGAGAGATTGGTGCTGCCTCCAGAACCCCCCCACCTGTAAGTAGGGGGCAGTGTGTGCATGCATGCCTCTGTGTGTGTGTGTGCGCGCACACGTGCGCGCATGGGGCTCTGTAGGGCTGGAACAGGCAGTGGCACATATGCCCTGCCTGCCCCCTCGCATATATGTGCAGAAGCCTAAGGAGGGGGCCTACATGTGTGCATTCAGCCCTCCACGCCCCCATGCACACGTAAGTGCACACATACATGTGAACACAGGCCTGCACTTTCCCATGTGCATACACACACATGCGCTCATACACACACACACACACATTATATCACACACAGGTGTACTTGTCTCTACACTCCCCTGTGCATGCACGCGCACACACACACACACACACACATTCAGCCTTATGCTTCTGTGGGCGCACACAGGTGCACTCATCTCCCATGTGCACGCACACAAAGAACCCAGGCATCCAGGACACAAACACACAGAATCCAAATGTCCGAGACTGTAACAGGATCAAAACCCATGGGTGGCCATGATGCCCCCAGTGGCCACATGGCTTCTACCCCACTAAGGCTCCCTAGGTTCCCTCCCTTGTCTTGCCTTCCTGCCATGCCTTGATGTGCTTAGTTGATTTGTAAAAGGGAGGCTGCCCCCGGGTCCCAGAGCAAGCCCTCATCTATCCTTCAGCCAGCAGGTCCCTACCACACTGGCTGTGCCCCTCAAGAACTAAGTGGGCCCAGTTGTGCCCCTCAAGAACTAAGTGGGCTCTCCTGGCTTCTCCATGCCCTGCTGCCTTAAGAGCTATTTGTGGCCTCCTTCCATCCCTACAACTATGCCCATGCCTTATGGATGTTACCAGCTATCACTTCAGGCCTCCACACCCTTGTTGGGGCTTCCATCTTCCCGACTTTTGTCCCTTTTATCTGGCTGGGCCCCTTGCAGCCTATGTCCACTGTGCTGGACCTGGTTTCTGAGCTCCAGCCCATCTCACCTCTCTTGGACTGTGGGCCCCTGGCCCTGGTTTCACCCCTCTTGGCTTTCTGCCTGCCTGATCTTGAGCCCTGGCCCCTGGCAGGGCTTCAAAATCATGCATGCCCCTTGGGCACCAATGTGCACATGGTGTGCCCCTCAGGCACCCCCTGGGGCTTAAACCTTAAGTGGTCATCCTTAAGAGTGCACTCTCAGGCATCCCTCCATGGCCTCCTCATCACCCCTTATAGCAGTAGCCAATTCAGCAGTGTAAAGCTTAAACAAAATACAAGCCCACTGACTACAACAAAACTATCTGCATGCTGGCTCATACTTTCCTGCCAGCCACAAGTCTTTACTTGCAGCTCCCAGGGCAGCTCAGGTGCCAGTTAGTCCCTCTCCTGCAGCCATCTTGCTGCAGAGCTCTTTGCCCTGCAGGGCCAGCCCCTAATGGGCAGTTTTTCCCCAACCTGGGGATCTCCCTTAAAGTAAGAGAAGCCTCTGGCTCCCAGGTACAGACACACCCACATGCATACACACCCACATACACATGCCCATGGCCCCACACTTCCCCATGGTACGTGCAGGGCCTGGAGACCGCTCCCCCACAGCAGGCCCCACAGCCATGCCTCCCCATCCTGGGCCCAGGTCTAAGCCCCCCACAGTGCCCACAGCATCCCCCCAACCAAAGGTAGGGCCCAGTTCCCCCCTCCAGGGCCTGGAGGACCCCTGCCCCCCACTCACAATCATGTTCTCCAGTGCATGCTTGGCCAGCCAACAGTTCAGAAACACAGGGATGAAGAGGTTGCGTAGGGGGGGCCACAACACCTGGGGCAGGGGACAGTGCAGGGGTCACCCACAGCCCTCCCAGCAGGCCACAGGCCCAGGCCTGACCCCCAGGCCCAGGGACAGTGTCCCACCCACCAGGAGGCCTCTGTCTCTGGCTGGGCTGGGGGGGCTGGACTCACCGTGATGAGGAAGGGCACAGTGGTCATCACCTCCAGCACGAAGGGCACCCGCAGTACCTGCTCCCACAGGTTGCCCTAGCAACAGGGGGGGCAGAATCAGCTGGGG